TCGGGATGCCCTGAGCTGAGGTGTTCAGACCACTCTTCGCTTGAGACTTCCTCGCAAGGCTGACTTTGGAGATTCCCCGCCCCATAGTGCTCGGGCCAGTTGCGCCTAAGACATCCTCGCAACTCTGACCTCGGAGGTGCCCTACCCCAAAGTGGCCCGGCCACTTCCGCATGCGACACCCTCGCAGCTCTGCGTCCGGGGATGTCCTAAGCTGCGCTGTTCCGGTCACTTTCGCCAGAGCCATCCTCGCAACTTTCGGTTCCGAGGTGCCCTGAGCTGAGGAAATCAGACCACTGTGGCCTGAGACCTCCTCCGAACTCTGACCTCGGAGAAGCCCTGCCCCAAGGTGGTCCAGCCACTTCCGCTTTGAGACTTTCTCGCAACTCTACGTTCCAGGGCTCCTTGAGCTGAGGTGTTCGGGCCACTTTCGCAAGAAACGTTCTCGCAGCTCTGGGATCCGAGATGCCCTGCCCCATGGTATTCCGCCACTTTCGCTTGAGACATCCTCGCAACTCTGAGTTCTGGTATGTCCTGAGCGGAAGTGTTCAAGCCATTTCCGCTTGAGACATCCTCGCACACTGACCTCGGCGATGCATTGTCCCATGGTAATCTGGCCATTTTCGCCTGAGACCCTCGCACCTTTCAGTTGCGAGATGCCCCGAGCAACTGGTCAGGCCACCACCGCCTGATATACGCATGTGTATGCGAACTCATAATTCTACATATGTATATATGTGTATGTATACATATGGGCGTGCACCGACAAAGCACGTACGAGTTGCAGATGCATGTTATACCCTTACACGCATCACTTTATATGCACACATGTACGCTGTATACACACATACAACAATGTAAGTATATGGTATACAGCTAACACACACATATCTATATATATATATACACACGGAACGTGCACGCGCGTGCGCGTGTATACATGCATGCACGCATGTACGCACGCACGCATTCCGCTTGCGTGCGGCACTCAAAAGACCAAGGTGATGGCGCGCAACGCCAATGCAGTATTCGCGCGCATGCATGTATACACGCGCGCGCATGCACGTTCTGTATTCTTTATAGTTATATAGACATGTATATATATATATATATATATATATATATGTGTGTTTGTATATATATATATATATATATATATATATGTCTAGGTGTATACACTATACTTACATTGTTGTATCTGTGTATACAGCGTACATATGTACATATAAATTTATGTGTGTGAGGGTACGAACATGCATATGCAACTCGTACGTGCTTTGTCGGTGCACGCCCATATGTGTACACATATATATATATATATATATATATCTATATATATGTATATGTATGTATATATATATATATATATATATATATAGTTGTATGTATATGTATAGGACTATGGGTTCGCATACACATGCGTATCTCAGGCGGTACTGGCCTGACCAGTTGCTCAGGGCATCTCGCAACTGAAAGGTGCGAGGGTCTCA